GACATAGAAAATAACAGAGAAATATTAGCCAATGGTATCATAATACAAAAATGTCTCTAATAAAAATCATCCGAGAAAGGAATGATCTTGCGATGCATGCAAAAAGTAGAAAAATAGAAAATGTCGCTATTTATAGCTGTAATTTATCGGCTACTGAGTAGCAGTAATTTACGAATGAGCGGCGGGTAAGGGAGGATACTTCTCGAAATAATCGCGTTTTATCCGATGATTTAGTATCATCTCGTAAAATATTGGAGATAGACGCACGGTGCACATTCAAGATTCTCGCAATCGCGTGCAGTACCAAGGCCTCAGGATGTAGGGAAAGATTTTCTACGCGTGATCGATGCACTTGGGGACACAGCGAGTTGCATGGCGAAATCGCAGGCATGTGGCAAGGCGAGCATGAATTAAATTAATCTAGGTTTTACCTTGCACGTTCCGACGCGTCGTCATTGAGGAGCCACGTTTTATGACTAGATCATCCGACGTTGCTCACGCACGTCAAAAGCAACGTTACATCTCGCTCACATGATACGAGAATGAAGCTAAAATAACCGCTGCAACGTAGCAATTCTACAATGTCAAAGATCAGAGGCTCCGGCACCAGCGCAGCCCTGACGACGGCAATGTAGATGCGATCAAACGATGTACTTATACAACGATTCTTGCTTGCGTATAAATAACAAACGAAAGAAAAATATATTGACGATAAAACATTAATACCGATAGTACATAAATTATTTTTATGCCTCTGCAATTCAAATTTTTTAATTTCAAATCTACTGCATATTGATGCAGGAACGAAACTGAACAAATACAACGAGCCTGGGATTCACATGACATTTTCTTTGTTCATAAATGCAGCATTTTTCCGTTTGCAGAGAGTTTGCAGAGTTATTACAACATCTTACTAACATCTTTTTCTTTAATTTTTTTTTTAATTGTGCACAATTAAGATTTATGTATAGATTGTCACAAATTCTTTCTACCCACAGCTCTCGAATTATAATCGATGGAGAATAATGAATTGACATAACGCACCATTGAACGTTCGTTTGCCGGCGAAGAATATTTCTTTCGTTTTCTCCGATATGACGCAGCCGTCGACTTACGTAAGACAAAGGTGTATACGTGTATACGTGTGTGTACGTATATGTGTGTGGCCAGTTACGCAATGGTCCGAATTTATCACTTTCTCGCGTCGCTTTATATAGGACGCACTATCTTGCCGTATAGTGTACCATAGGGGACCTCATAAATATTAATACAGTAGCGTATATAAGAGCATAGTTATGCGAAGTAAGGCCGCGCGCTCAATAAGGCCGCCTACTATCGGGGCCCGACGTACTGTCCTCCGGCTGTTCACAGGGACACGTCGGAAAGGGAAAAGTTTGCGCAGAAAACTCGCACGTATTCTCGATTACACGTATTCTCGATTAATTCACGAGATCGTTTCTCAGAATGCGCTCTTTGCAATTAAAATTCTCGTCGAATCTACAGACAACTCTCCTCCATTTGTCAGTATAAAGTAAGTAAAGAATATCAATTGATAATTAATAATTATAAAAGTTTAACTGATATCTTATTTTTTTATTTGCCGTAGAATTCACACAAGAAGAAAACATAAAATCATCTAATTACTTATAAATTATACACCAAAACGTTAATAACTAATTAAATTCAAAAATGTTTTAAAAATTTGTCCTCTCTACACAAAATAACATGTAAAGGGAGGACAATAAGGAATAAAAACTAGTATTATTATTAATATTATTATTAAGAAGACCGTGAAATATACATTTTTCAAAGTAAAATCATCCAATTAACAGTTTCAGATTTATTCGTTTCGAGATGACTCCAGCTTGTTAGCCTAATTTGCACATTGCCCGGTGGAAATATTGAATTTGTAACTTCGCTCAAAACATGCTGCGAATCGCGCAGGCAAAATAAACGTACATTTGCAGCAATACAACGTACATTTGTTTCATTTCCGTTTGAGCGAAGTGGAATCTCGGGATGGTCGCGCGTTAGGTCTAGAGGGTTAAAATCTACTAAAGGTCGCAACGTTGATGATAACAAATAATAATCAATGGGATGCGCGATAAACAATGCGGATATCGCCCAGCATGAAGCGGCTTCTCCTTAATTAGATTTTTTGATTAACTATATAAAGCTGGGACCGCGCGATGAGACGCGGCGCGGTGCGCTGAAGCAAGCGGTTGCTCCAGCACGTGTTGCACGCTTGTGCGCACGCACACGCGTTTACACACGTGCACGCGGATCCGGTGCATTCCTCCTCGTAATAGGCGGACCCCGAGGCCTGGAACTTTTCGTCCCGCGCTACATTTCGGAAGAAGCGAAAAAACTGAACGACGCGGAGCGTTAACCTTTCAATGCGTCGCCTTGCTAATTGATAGCAAAATTCACTTTCAATTTAACGAGGAGGAAGTGACCTTAAAATTTACATAATTAGAAAAAAGATAATAAAAATACATGTGGTACTAATATACATGTGGTATTAATATTGCGTAATATAGAATATAAAATCAATATTTTTGTAATTCTTTTTTTATTCTTTAATGAATGACATTTTAATTCTGCAATTAATTAAATCCGAATAATATCAAAAAAGACACAAGATTATATGTTTCAAAATATAAAAATATATGCTTTTGAGATTTTGCGTGTCAGACCAATTTTCACATGTTCGTAAAATAGCGACTGAAGGACTTCGCCGCTTTCGAGCAATAGCAACTTTCACGTTATCGCAATTTTTCTTGCCACGATATTTTTGTTGCACGACAATGAAATCGAGAAACTAGTTTGCATCCATTACTATAGCCTGTTCAGCTGTCTCAAGAGAGACATGTAACTCCGTCATTCAAAAAGACAAGAAAAACTCATCTATTCTAATGCAAATTGTTACTCGTACGAGTCTCGATAAATGAAACGTTTCGTCAGAAGATGTCTGTGAGATGCAAGATATGAAAAACACAAAGAAAAGATATACAAATGATAAATAATGAAAAATAAATATATCTTAAAGTAATTATAACGTATAATACGTATTGTTCGATTCCTTCCGATAATCAAGTATATCATATATAACGCATTCGTGAAAAGATTACGGGAAGCAATTAATAATCTTGCTAATGCTGTATGTAATAAATTAGAGATGGTATAGCAGTAAATATATACATTAAGCACACAGAGATTCGTTTGCGATATCCATCGCACACGATGGAAATCACCGAGGAACGTGACGTGTCCGTAAATAGTTACGAGTATTTAATTCATGTTTCCTTTCTTCAGCTGCTAAGTACAATCAATAGAAGTATGTGAAACAACAGAATATTCTTATTTCAATTTTGATATTTTTTTTATCAGCCTAATTATATCGGCTCCATAATAAAAATAAAGCACAAATGTAACGAATATTTGAAAATTTATAAGTTTTAATAAAAAGTATTTAATTTATAAGAGATTATTTCAATTATATATGTATATTACTTACCATAAGCTTGCTAATTTTCGTTTCTTATGATTGTAAGGTGTGTCTGAGGTTTATGTGTGAATAATACATGCATCTACACGAAAAATATAAATTGATTTTGCATATTCATTGCTGATATATCGCGGTTGCATGTAATTTGAGTCAGCATGGTGTAGTGTTGTAGAATGCCGTTTTTTGTTCGATGATTTATGTATTTATGATTTTCTTTCTCGTTCTATATAACGTTAAACATTATGCATATTAGCAAAGCGAGCAAATAAGAAGAAGATGAATAACAAGATGGCACAAGTTTATCAAATCATAAAACAATTTTTAAAATTTCTCTGCAGATATTTAATCACTTGATGCATTACTATATCGGTCCCCTTCGTTTATGTAGTACAGTTAAGCGGTCTCTATCTTCTATGAATTAATCATTATGTATCCATTTATATTAAACTTGTACTTGTTATTTATATTCACATCACATTTAGATTTTATATTAATATTATATACGCTGTTGAATAAAAAATAGAATAACTCAAGAAAGTGTGAAGTGATAAATTTCTGTTAAGAAATTAATATAAAAAGGATATCTCATGAATTTATTCAATTTTCTTTTCACAACATTCCGCTACAATCAATTTCCTTTAATATTAATTAAAAAGTATAAATAATAAATTAAAATAAATTTAAACTATCAATAATCAAACTGAAATAAATTTTAGAATTTCGTGTATTTTTAATTTATGTTTAATCAAAGTTGTTTATGATGAGAAAAAAGATTTCATTTTAAATATAAAACAACAAAATGTATAATGATATATATATATATATATAAACGAATAAAATGTCGAGAAAATCAATATTAAATTGCTAAAAGACTAAGAAAAGAAGAAGGAAAGAGAATTAAAAAAGCTTGGAAACGCTCTTCAACATACTTTAATTTTAGGAATCCGGATGTTTGGTGTCATCATTCTAGCAGATCAAACTTCACGGTCATGTCGTAATACATATCCTGAGCACTGAAATCTCTTTACGCGATCGAGAAGATGCTATCGAAAAAGATACTATCTACATTTTAATATTAATTATACTACTTACGTTTTAATTTTCTTTTTATTATTTTAATTAAGAAATTAAAATAAAACAAAAACAAAAATATGTATTCAAATTATATATATCAAACAAATATATAAAATTAGAAAAAAGAAGTTCTTATTTTGTGATATTATTGCTTACTTTTGTAGGCATGACATAATATAAAAATCATTTTTTAATGAAATATAAGATATGTATACATATTTTCGTAAAAAAGATTTTGTTTTCGGTGCTCCAAAATCTATGGTAAACTCGCGTTTACTCCAAACCACTTAGTGCCGCTAGATTTCCCGCGGAATTGTTTGACAGCGTATCCGCATACAAACGCGCGGTTTCCGGCGCGCTCGGTGGCGCGTTTGAAACGGAATTCTCATCTCTTAGAATAACAGTTCCTCGTACTCACCTGGCCGACACCGAGCGCCACCAGGAGCCAGCAGCACACCGCCGCCGTCGACAACAACCTCCTCCTCATCGCGACGGTCATTTTGCAGGATGACCCGCGCCCGCGCGTACTGACTGCGTCGCAGAGCGTGTCGCACTCGCCGAAGGACCCGCCGAAGGCCAATCTCTCACGTCACATTTTCTTCGTTCCCCGAGAAGAGTCTCATCGTATCCGCCGAGGTACCTTGACGCGATAGTCAGCGCGCTCCGCGAGGTGACCACGAGGCGTGCCACGAGGCCGTTCTCCTCTCCTCGTACGCACGTCCTTGCTGGCTGCGTTGGTACCGCGAAGTGGTCTCGGAAATCGTTCGGGAAAGTCGGCACGACCGCGACGAGGAAGATCGCTGGCGGGTGTTAGACTGGCGCAATAATGACTGCGCCCGCCGAGCTGTTCCGAGGGACGCTCAGATGTTCGGCTTTCTGGTGGGGATGGAGGTGGCCGTAGTGGCCATTCCCTCTTCATCCAACTCGCTATATACGCGATGCGGGCATTCATGTCTCCGGATTTGATATAACTAGATGGTTGCTGATACCGTCGTGAGAGGACGGTACGGAGCAAGCAAGTGGTTGGCAATCGCGGTTTCTGATGTATCAGCAAGGCATTTTGCCTGGAACAAATTACGTTCAGTTGTTATGTTAAATTGGTGGCAATACTAAGAAGTGAAATTAATACTGTTAGATTATAATAATTTCATAATTATCAAAATACTTGAATAACATTGTGGAAGAAATAAAAAAATGGTGTTAATAACAATTTTTATTCAAGTCAAATTATTCAAAAAATTCTCTCTCTCTTTCTCTCTTTCTCTTTTCTGTAGTGTTTTAAATATTCAAAGATAAAAAATTATCTTAATAAATCCTCTTTAATCGATGTATTGATCTAAGTATTGATTAGTATTGAAAATTAAATATGGGCTTCACACACAAATCTTTGAAAAATTGTACAAAATATTTATAAAATAATAATTAAATATTAATTTATTAGAATAGTTTAAGTTGTTTTATATGTATATAGAGCTTCTTGTATCAAAGACCTCCAAATATTTATTTATTTGTATCGCCTACACTTTCTTTCTTTTATATGCATGTATGAATAATCGATAGTAATAATGCGCAATTTCTACAGACAAAATCTTACTCTGCCTAATAATCTATTTTTTTATTTTCAAACGTGAATATAAATTTGTTAAATAAAAGTCATATTTGGATAATGGAATCCGGATATCTGTGTTTCAAAAGTATAGTAGATATGATAAAAAAATGAAACAACGGATAACAACGTTGGCGTACTACTGGTAATAACTACTGAAACCGGTTCAGAGAGACTTAAAAATTATAATAAACGACTCATGCAACCCGACCTAGACTGGTTCGACCTATCGTGATTAAAGGAGGCGTACGGATCTTTGAAGTGCGCCTATCAGTTTCGAAGATAACACTTGGTTTCCTTTAAAGAATTCGCGTTACGGCATTCTGGGACAGGCTTCGAGATGCGTTCGATCTATTATTCGCGGTTTCATACGTATTGCCTTCACCGGGGTTCTTCGGGAGGTCATCGTCAAAGCGATACTTAAGACATCACAATGCAGACAAAGACTTCGTATAACAGACAATAGAAGTGGCGTATAATCATTTGTAAGTAATGTACAATACATCTGATCTTCGATGAGAGATATTGTATCTGAGACTTGAAATTGGAGCGAGACATCAATTGTATATGCAGATAAAACAGCTGCAAATGAGAAATGTTGCTGTAAATAATTAATGTTCTTTTTTGACTTCAAATACAAACATATATAATATTGATTATCTTACACAGAGATCACAATATTTTAAGCTTTATATAATATTATTTATATAATATTATTAATTATTTATATAATACTGATTGTTTTAATTTAATAGACTGCATAATTTTAATTTAAACTTTTATGTCACAATAATAATTCATAATAATTATTAATTATATATTTTAAAATATCTTTTATGTATTTATAATAAAATGTAATATAGAAATATTTTAGATTTTAATAATAATTTTATGTACATTTTACTTCTATTTTCGATTCTTTATTTGTAATATTAATTTTTAATTATTCTTAAGGTCTTGTTAATATCGTTAATGTCCGAATGTATGCATATCAGAGAAAAAACATAGAGAGTATCGGTTTAAAGAAATAAAGTAGATTTTCTGCAATATTATTTTATATCCGAGATATATTTTAGCGAATTATTGGCAACGAAACAAGAAGTCTGACAGCTCAAAGCCTTTGCTCCTCAATCTACATCCAGTGAATTTGTCGAGAGGTATTCGAGAAGGAACTTTGCCGCGTATCGATTGAAGTTTCCTTGAAACGAACGAGAGTCTCGCTTCTTTAAATGCAAATAATGTGAACACGTTATATAGAACCTCCACGTCTTATTCATAGAGATCTGATAAAACATTTATAAAAATTTTACGTTTTTGATGGAGAATCGCCTTGACATCTTTCACTTCCAAATATAGTTCCTTGATAAGTTTATAAAGATAGGAGCACGAATATGCATTATAAAATATCTCTTGATAATAAATGCTTGGTCTAATAAATAATAAATTATAAAATATTATTATACTGTACATAGCACACCGAAAAAATATCCATGAGCATCTTTTAATTTAATTTGCCCGGTTATTATTTATTACTTTTTTAGAATATTATTTTTAATTTTCTCGAGTCCCTAAGTCATATTTTTTTTATTTAGAAGACATTTTTTGATAATAGTATAGTTGTCCACTTGTGTCGACTTTTAAAGGCGAAGCTTCTCAATAAGAAACTCTGACGGGTACATCAATCTCACAAGAAGTTTATTGTTGCTGATGGATTTTTCCTCAAGCACAACTTCGTATAACGTCGTCGATAGAATCTCACAAGGGACGTCAAACTCAGTGTTCTTAATAACATTCAGGATCGTACAATCTATCCCATCACACTTCTATGTCTTCCGTAAATGTGATCCTCTCCTTCTGAAAAAAGATGTTATTCCTTTGTCATCGATTTGACCGTTTCGCGTGCTCTCAAAAAATAATTTCCATTGCGAAAATCGCCCTCTCATTCCTTAGGGTGGCGACGCTTTTAATGGCGCGAATACCGCACTCGAGGGTGCGAAAGTACGTGAAAGCAAGTTTCATCTCCAGTCGGCAAGTAGGCGGACCGTGTTTGACATGCACCGAACAATCTTGCACAAATACCAACAGGCAGGCTAGGGTTGCTTTTTTTTGCCTCCCCCTACCTTCGTCATTCTTCTCGCACAGAATCATATACGTTCACGTTCACGGTGTGCGAAGAAACCCCCACGAGAGACGCGAGGGGTCGGTACGTGATAAGGGGTTGCGCAGGCGCCGGCGTATCGACCAGGATAGCTCTCCGGGCGACACCCTCGCAATTCTCCACCGAGCTTCACTGCTTCATCGGCAAACTAGTGGGTAGTACACGCACGCGACACAGGTAAGTGGCCATAGTTTGAGAGTCGCATGACATGCGAAATTTTCAGTTTCGTGCCTCGTAAAAAAAGTCAATCTCGCTAAAATACGACGATTCCGCTGAGGTCATGGTTCCTTTGCCTTTTCGTAAAATCATTTTGCCGGTTTCGGCCCCGTAGAGTACGCAAGATGACAGGCTGGTGGCGCGCACCACCTTCACGTGACGGTTGTCTTCGTCAAGCGGGGTAGTTTCGATACCTCTCTCGGGGTAGTTTCAACATCGCTCTCGATAATCGCTCGATACTGCTATCGATAAGACGTGCAGATAACGCCATCGGAATAACACCGTCAATAACGCGGCGAGTTTGTAACGATAACGAATCGGCACGATTGACTGTTCGGTGATCGTTTTATCGAGTGAAAGCTCGCATTAACGTCTTCGCAGAATAGCAGAATTGTCAAGGTAAGATGCTGTCGTTCGTATTGACGGCAAGAGCAAACGGAATGTGGGCGGTCTTTGATGAAGGGGATCGTTATCTGCTTGAATGAGCATGTATATTTTGATACGCAAGTGCAGTTTTCGGATTTACGTCTATTGCGCAAGATTCCAGTGTTGGAGTACAATCGATGTTCAGTCATAAATAGTCGGAACAATCGGGAAAACCGAGAAACGAGTACGATAATTTTAGCAGGAGTGACACACTGAATTTTGAGAAACGAAAAAGTAATGGCGAATGCGTGCGTTTTACGAAGCGGCACCTTCATTGATTTTTTTTAGGACAAATTTTATTTTACATTTAAGATAGTAAATCTCTCTCTTTCTTTCGTCACGACATTAATAAAAGCCGCTTTTTCTTAAAAAGTTTTAGTCATGGCCGCCGAGATGGATCTTAACGATCAGCATAAACGAGAACATTCTTTTGCGCCAGCACTCTTCTTTCTTTATATGCTTAATATTCTTTTAGAATTATCTTCTCTTTATTGATTTTGGTCTTAACATACACAAATTTATCTTTGTACTGAAAGTAATTGAAATAACTTTGTAATATCATGCAGTTATAAATTGCGACATGATAGAAGCTAAACTTACTAATGCATTTTCTAGTTTTAAAAAGAGATGAAGAATCGATTAGATCAAAATTGATTAACATTGATGAATTCAGTCATTAGTCTTGTTTGCATGACAGTCTTCATCTATGAAATATCAGTTGTGATACATAATAAATGCGATTTAAAAACGATAATACAGAAAAACCCGATTTATTCGTTTTTGAACAAGAATTTATTGATCAGTCGTGTAAAATGAAAATTCGATATTTATAATAGTTATAAAAATAACATTTTTTTATTTTAAGACATTATACACGGATTAATAGATTTCTCTACATGGTTACGCAATTTCTTGTAACATTTATTTTTCATATTGTAACATTCATTTATTATATTAATTTGGACAAAATATGTAATAGATATATAGAAAGATACAGAAATTTCATTAAAATTCCAATGTGAATCAGATATAGGGATAAAACAGGCAGACCGCAGCAAGCTTTTAGATGAGATCTAATCTTTGTAATTACGTGAATTCAGACATCACCGGTAATATAATATCCATATTCCATTGCATTTAAACTTATGAGGATATGTAATATGCAATTTATAATGGTGATCCACATCTATGCTGAATCCAATTTGATGTGAATATTCCGAAATATTTAATATATTCATAATTTACATCTGTAATACATATCCATATTAATTTTTATTATTATGCTGTAGCAAACTTTAAATTAATGTGGTCTCCTAATTAAATTTAAAATTCAAAAATTAATTAAATTAAAATTTCGATATTTTATAATTACATCAAGAATTTGTTATATGAATACTTGATTTTCGTTTGATATATTCCTCGTTAAATTCTGATGTTTGTTCAATTGAACTTCGGTAAGGTATAGGTATATCGATTTTTACATCATCTGTAATTTAATGGTAGTTAAATATGCCAGAATGGTCTATAATTATCTGTACAGTCGGTGTTACGCTATGGCTGTACTCTCCATGCTGTATTAATAATTGTAAAATTACAAAATTCATTGATTTATTTATCAATGTTAAGTAATTCTAATATTCAATTTTCTTTGAAATCATAGAATTACAATAAGAATTACCATTCATAATATTCATCTAGTGATTTTATTACAAAACATAAATAAATGATTATTTCTTCATTTATATCATTATTATATTTCTACGTAGCCTATATTTCTTTTAACATTTATCGATATAATTATTTTTCCATATATGCCAGAATAAATTAATTAACAGTTTAGAATTATTTTGAATGTACAATTAGAATGTTGTTGTGACCTCAATTTAGGCGTTTTATTCTACATAACTTTGTATCTGGTAACTTATCATCCACTAACACACTAGGCTATTGTGATCGTATGTAACATAGCTATTATAGGAATTCGATGCATGCAACGGTATTGTGCGTATAAAATGCTTGATGAGCTGCATCTATGGGCGTAACTCATCAACACGTAATAGCTCTATAACTCGTTTACCACTTCGCGGTCTAATAGGTAGGTGCTACTCGCGGCTTGGATAATTCTATGGAATGTATTACACTAACCTTGTGAAACTTGCAAAATGCTATCGCATGGAAGTCGTTATAACAGATTAACTTATATCTCATTGGTTCATCCAGTTTTTCTCCCTATAATTTTACATAAATTATACGTTCACACGATTTAAATCTTTTGAAGCAACAAATGCTGAGATCGTTAATATCATAAAACAGCTTAAAACTTGAATTAAGACTTGAAAGTATAACCTCGGAATGAAATATAGAACGACCCAGATATTCACTCAGCTACAAGCTCTATGATAAATTTAGAATTTTCTCTTCACAAGATCTTAATGCAAATTCATCACTTTGTGTACATCCCTAAATATTTCATTTCTTTAAATTCTAGTTAAATTTAGTTCAAAATTTCGTATCTTCATATGGCGTTTAAGTGAAAGACAAAATTTTTTTCAATTGCGACGTTATATAATAATTCTTACAGAATATTTCAACATATGAAACATTTTCATCTCGGTTTGACATGTAATATTCATTGTGAAGACATTCCGCAAGCTGTTGCCATTTTCTCGAATCGCTATATTGAATTGCGAAGTTTTCTTTTCGAGCAATACTTCGAGAAAGTTGAAGAACATTGGAGATTACACGCGTAGTCCGCCAGTTCCGCGAAATGTGGGCATCGCTATTATCGAAGAAATACGGAAGAAACAAATAGTGAGCAGTCGGAACGTATCATTGCTTCTTCGACGTTTCTTTCCCCGTGGTGTGAGCATGGAATTATTCCGCGAGCTCTTCAAGATGCGTTCTACGCGATGATATGATCAACGAGCAAGTTATAGAAGTAGCGTGCTCCGTGTATGTTCCAAGAATACGTAAATGCCGGTAAACTCGCACGATGCTGTGAAGTATTTTAGAAATTCCAAGCAAAATCGCGCTCCGACTATCGATTTTCGCGACCGTTATATTACGAGTCATTGGTTACACCGGTTACATTCATAATTTTTTCCCCCCTCTAATGCATAATACGTGAGTTCGAAGCGCTCTTTATTTCCAGTTTTTAAATTTAAAAGCGGAAATTTTTTATCATTCTAGAATATTTATCATAAACGAGTTTTTCTAATTTATACTTATCATAGATTATACTATTACAAAAACTTCTTATCTATTTCGTGGATTTTATGCGAATTTCTATTGGAATCTTTTTTTATTTTTCTGCAAGACTTTTTTATATTCTATTTTAAATTATATATAATAAAATTATATATAATTATATATAAAAAATTAATCTTATTATATTTTTGACACAATCTTTGTTACCTTTATTAATAATGTGCAAACAAGTGTTCACAAAGCATGACATAAAGAAAATAATAAGAATCAGTTTTATAGCTTACTGTTTCCGATATATATCAGAGAACCCAATTACAGAAAGATGTCTTGCACAATAAAAATGTGCCGTTTATCAACAAGATATTTTATTTTATTTAACACATTTTATTTAGACATTTTATTTAAACAACTTGAATCGAAAAAAAACCTCTTTGAATCGAAAAAAAACCTCTTTGAATAGAACTGTATAAAATCTCAGATATAAGTATCAGACCTATACTTGTGCATTCGAAAAAAAAATTCAATTTTAAAATATGAAGATTTAAAATTGAATCTTTAGATTTAAAATATAATGATTTTGGTTATTTTTATTAATTAAATTGAAAAACATTGAATAAAAATAATATTTAACAAATTTCATCTTTAGTATTAAATTGTATTCTATATATATTGTATTTATATAATAAAAAATTAATCTTAATAATATAATATATAATTTTTATATTTAAATAACTTAACATAAAAATATCGTATTCTAATATATTCGATGCATCAGCAAATAATACATCTGATTATTTATATCTAGATTTATTTGCGCTAACAAAAGTCTCGTATTTACGATTTGTATGATTGCTCGGTATTTAAATCACATTCTCTCTTTTCTACTTGTTACAGATTTCAACTTGGATTGTTTATTTTCTCCTTCCTCACCTCCTCTTATTTCATCCTTTCCTTTCGGATTACCTTACGTTGAAGTTTCATCTCGTGCCGCATCAAGCAGAGAAGACCCGCTCATCGATCTAGGATCTATTGACACGATCCATCGATTCACAACGAACGACCTATTTCGCGCGTCGCGACGACATCGCGTCATCAGCAATACAAAGACCATCGCGACGGCAGAGAACTGAAGCGGATTATCTTCCGGATCACTAACGGTCCGAGCGACGAAACCGGGAGCCATTTCATCGCAGCAGCGAGCCCGGTGTAACCATCAAGATTACCGGCCGCGGCGGTTGCGCCAAGTACTGTGGTACAGCTCCATCACCCGGCAACATTTCATTCTCCAGTTTTCGTCAGTCCTTCACTTCCAATGTCAACTACCTGAAACGGAGGTGAGTCCACGACATAACGGCGGATCCGGACCGCTGGGGCTGACATTTGATCTCAATTAATTCCGAAGATTTATTATCTACGGTGTTCGTCTATAAAAAGAAAGAATTCATCTTTTATCGTCATCTTCCATAATTGTATTGACGTGCATATATTGAAAAATGTCAGCCCGAATCTTAAATCTGCATGGAACAGATTTAAATGTATTTCATAAACTTTTGCTGATCCCTCGGATTACAAATCTGTGGAAAATTTCTTAAATTCGTGGGATCGGTAATAGATTTAAAACACGATACAAATCTATAAGAGAATTTACGAATGAAAAGTATTTTATATGTGATTAGTTTTATTTCTTTCTTACATCTAATGTTATGCGTATAAATGTATAGAGATCCGCTGTAATAGAGATTTTACAATAACAAATTTTAAAGAAAATTTTTATTATACTAGAAATTCAAAATGAATTTAGATGCGACTTATTTGCATGCATGACTAAATATTAAAAAGCGACATGTAGACAAAAGATTAAAATAATATTACTATAGCGACTATGTCCTTTGTCTACACGATAAAGTGGATGAAGCTTCGAGAAAAGCTAACTCCCAGAAGACAGACGCAAAATAACATTTATCTCTTTAAAGTGAAATTTATTTCTGTCCGTCGCAAGCAAATCTCCACATATATAAGCAATAATTTATAATTGCGAATATATAGCGTACACTTTATACTCTAACGCGAGAATGTAGCGTTCTATATTCTCAATATATTATGCGCGCGCTTAAATGCACTTTTAACGTAATTACCGGACATATTCTGTTATCAGAGATTTCTGTAATTAAAATCTGGCATGGAAATATTTCGATCGAAATGTCGTTCCATCCTATTCGAGAGTGAATACGTTGTTGAAAGGTATACCTCATGAAAGCTCATGTATTCATCATGCCGAGCTGAATTCTATTCTTTTATGAGTGGCTCTTATATCGAGTCAATTTACGCACACTGGCGTACGCATGATAATGATCGGCCGTTAAAACGCGCGGTATCTCAATATTTCGTACGCTCTCGACGACGGCTCCTATATAATGCGTCCATGAAGAGAAAATAGAGTCCTCTGTCCAATTAGCTGGGACACAAGCGCTTACCTGAGTTTGCCATTAAGCAAACATCGGCAACGACGTGTCAAAGTTACGATGTTGAAAATTGGGATCACTGAAACTCGACGCGCGAAGGTTCCCATGCTAATAAAGTCACATGTGAGGCTTTAAATTTTTGTTAAACTAAGATGTTATAGATATAAAATTACTCTCTATATTTGAAAAAGACATTTGTTTTTATATTTACAGGAGAAACTTGAATTCTTTAAAAATAATTCTTAAAAAATGGTGTTAATTGATTAAAAAGAGAGGAAATTTTCTTGAATATATGAAAGAAATTATGTCGAGATATTTGAGAACCTCTGCTTATTTGGAAGTAATGTCGCGCTAAGATATTGACAGGGAATCCAAACACGAGTTTAATGTTTTTATTAATAATTCGAAGTCTTTCGTGTTCGACAAATATGAATGTATGCATGCGGCTCGTTAAAAATACCGCTTCCAGCATTGCCCCAAATGCAGCAGCCTGGACGCACGCCACGATATCAAATCATCGTGCTAATGTAGCCTTACACACGGCAACGTTAGTATAACGCCTCTCCTCTCCATTAGCGATATCGCGTCTTTCATCTTTTTTACTTTTATTTATTTTTTATTGTAACGTAAATCTTGCTATTACTGAGTAACTACACGATCGATGTGAACGATTGTGTGAATTGATGATAATGTAGATGCACATGTGATTTCATGCGGATATTCTAGCATTATATTAAGCGATTATTTCGATGCTCATTTTTATTCCATATAAAACCCTTTGAATGGAAAAGAGATTCCATCTTATAGACGGAAAAAGAAAGAAATAAATACATTACTCCGAAGTGAAGCACCATGACTGTCTACTTCGTAACCGAAATAGACGTAAGACCCGCGTCACGCATGCAACGCCGGCCGATTAGCGACCGCCCAGCCGATGTCATCTTCATGCTCCTCATCCCATCAGCATCGAATGGCTGTGATTGATGTGCATTTAACGCAGCGTCAAACACGACAGCGTCAGTGCGCGGCCTGCCGACCGATTGTCACTGTCACGACGACCACCATAGCTTGTCTTCCAGGTTCTCATCAGGGGACCTAAGCTCGGAACTCGACGATGAGCCCAACGCAGATCCTGGGCTGGCCACCGTGGGCCGGCAGGACTCGTCCCAGCCGTATCAGGCGGTGTCGGACCGACCCCTGCAGTCCCAACCGGGCCCAATACCACCGCCGTCGCAGCCGCCGATCCCGGGCGCGCCACCCCAGGGACCGCCACAGCCCATCGGAGGTGATCTTAGCCTCAACCTGAGACCCGGCTCGCGGACCACCAGCGCACCATCTTCGCCAGCAAAGACACGGGAAAGTTTGCTTCAGCGAGTGCAGAGCTTAACCGGCGCCGCTCGCGATCAGGCGAGTTAATTTCATTTCTATTTTCCTTATTTTCCTTATATTTTTCGGTCTATTTGAAATTAATTTTAATATATATAGAAAGCGATTAATTATTACGATTAGAATTGTAGAAAAATAAATATTATTAATCCTTACTCATTAAATAAGATCTCAAAATATTCTTTCAATTAATTACATTTTTCTAGCTCAATCTTTAAATTTGACTTTCTCGAAAGTTTTGTCAGTTATAGTATGCTTAATTGTAATCAATCTTCTATTCGATTGGTTATTATATTACAAAATAAAAATGATGTTTGATGATTAAAATGATGCGTAGGGTGCTTCTATTCTGGGAGCGGCAGTATCTGGCGCGACGCGAGGTTCATCATACAGCAAAGACCGATGCTTCACTCTGCTGGTGATCGACGACCAGAACACCGATTGGAGCAAATACTTTCGAGGGCGCAGACTGCATGGCGATTATGAGATCCGTGTGGAACAGGCAGAATTTCGAGAACTGTCCCTGACAGCAAGCGAGGCGGGCACTGTTGTATCCATGGCTGTCTATCGTAACGGGACCAAAGTTATTCGGTAAGATTCGAAAATAAAATTGCATTTTTTAATTTTAATTTTGACAATTCTTCATATTGCATTAAAATATTATTTTACATTTATCACAAATTTTGCTATAAAAGTAAGTAAATATAAAAAAAATAAGTTAAAATGATGATTTAAAAATGTATAAAATTAATATCGCATATAATGCATAAAAATATTTTAAATATAATGATATAATAAGACAGGAAAGATAAAAAAAATTTTTAAATATTAAAGAAATATCGTGCAACAAATATAAATGTTGCACTATCTACTATAATTGTTTACTATAATTGTTGTTAGATCCTTCAAACCTGATTTCGTATTGATACGTCAAAACCTGCGAGATGCTGGAGAAGATCATAAAAATCTTCTTCTTGGTCTGATGTATGGCGGTGTACCCAGCGTTAACAATATCACAGCAATTTACAACTTTCAGGTAATATATTATAATAAAATGATTTGTTTTATAATTTTTTTTTGAATAATTATGTGCAAAATAAACGTTGTATAGAAAATATATTAAATATATTAAATATATTAAATATATTAAATATATTAAATATATTAAATATATTAAATATCTTATTGGTATTCTCATATAG